TATAGATATAAAGAAAGCGTATTTACAGGTTAAGGTAGATGAAGAACTACAACCATACTTATGCATAAGATTACCTTATAAAGAGAACGAGTATTGGGTGATGGTATCAATGCCGTTTGGCCTCAGTATTGCACCCAAATGCTTGACAGAAATACTGAAATTTTGCCTACGAGAGGAAGGGTTACAGGATCGTGTACAATTTTATGTCGATGACGGAATAGTAGGGGAAGAATTTTTCCAAGCAGTAAAAAAGTGTTTGATGAAAAATGGATTCACAATAAAAGAACCAGAAAGATTGCGAGGAGCTAGAGTATTGGGTATGCAACTAAATAACGATGCTGAAGGAACATGGAGGAGGAAAGGTGAAACGCCAGTATTAAAAGGCAACAATGATGGTTCAATTACTCGACGACAAATCAGTTCATGGGTCGGAGAGCTAATTGCTCATTACCCAATCGCCGGATGGCTCCGAAGTGCATGTGCAATGTTGACTAGGAGAGTATCAATGGATGTGAATGATAGAAGTGATACTGTCACGTCCACGATAGTTAGCATTTGCGACGACTTGGAAGCCGATTTGAAACGGAGAGGTGATCCAGTCCATGGAGTATGGAAGTTATGTCCTGAAAAAGCGTGGACTTTGTATGTAGATGCTAGTAAGCTAGCTTACGGGGCATGCTTGTATATTGGCGATCTCCGGGCTGAAGATGGATCCTGGATCAGACCAAAAGATGATCATCGACATATTAATGTAGCGGAGCTTGACGCTGTTTTGAAGGGGCTTTCTTTACTTTCCATGTATCTGAAAGCGAATGATATGGTGGGCAGGAGGAAAGACGTAACACTTCGAACTGATAACTAAGATCAATTTCGCCAGCACGCTCGATAGAAGAATCAATTTCGACGACACGTGTCATTAGTACAATCAATTTCGCTGGCACGTCTGAAGTAAGTTCTATTTCGACGAAGTGCGGAAATCAATTTCGCTGATAGGACATTCGATTTCGTGACGAAAATTTAATTTTCAAAGGGGTCGTTAATAACGTTATCGCTATCGTTATGCCTATCATCATGCCAAACCCAGATAACAACTCTGACGATGAGAGTCACCACGAGGAGGGATATACGGTCGAATTGAGCCGCGCTCATTTAGCGCGTTATCAACAATTTCCAAGCTTAGCCTGTCTTCAAAGAGTAAGCTTGCCCTAAATGTCGTACCACATGCGTAGAGACCCTGTCATTCTCCGACTCGTCGTCACCTTCATCTAGAGCTTGAAGAGCGACATCCTTTGCGGCACCCTTCATGAACAGGTCCTGTTCAACCGGACCAGCTCCTGTGCCTTCTGGGCCAGTGTAAACAGTCTAAACACTTAGTGTAGGATCGTGCATCAATCTGTGCTACGCTCAGGTATCCTCGTCTACATGCACTTTTCCCAGTTTGGTTTATCAAAATCGAACACACTGTAGTGGGAGAAGCGTGGATAATCCAGCTTCAAACTCGCCTGGATTTTTTGGCGAGGCCGAAGGGCCAAGTCTCATATTTCCACCTTATCTCGCTCTCGGTGGGCTGCCTCTAGCTCCCTGTGTTTGATGATCATCAGGTATCACTGATACCGTATCAGACGCCCGGTGGCTTTTAGTAATTTAACAATATATTTTGAGTCTTTTGGCGAGGCGGATTTTTTAGACTGCACACGTGTGTTGACGGAATCGACCGATTCATATGCTATAAGATTAAGGTAATGGTAATGGCACTCAGTCATTTTCTCTGCAGCAGACCTTCGTATAAAGAGCGATAGGGCTCACCCTGATCTAGTCCGCTCAGTCCAGTTCGTCGTCGACGGGCCGGACCTGACCAGACTAAGGATCGCATATTAGTTTGGTCGGTCTGACTGATCCGGCCTAGTCCGGACTTGTATATAATATGTTGCCTACTGTATCAGAGTAGACAACATATTACGGAAACGGCGCGTGTGGTTTTGTAGTTTTTTCGATCGCCGAGTAACGGAGAGAGTGTTTCTACCCTTCCAAAGCGCCTCCACTGATGATCCACGAGTAAGTGTCGAAGAAGATTTCTTCCAGTACCTCTTTTCCCACAGTGCGGCGCAATATCGTGCACAGGGGCATCGGTGATGGCGAGCATTGAACCGAGTAGCGACGTGCCTATGGAAATCATCGCCATTACTTCGTGTAAACTTGTGCGTTCTCGGTGAGTAGAAATTTGCCTTGCACTGTGTTATTGTGAGTAGCCTGCCTACGGTGGGTAGAGGGGCCACTGATCCCAGAGTCGCCAATGTTGAACAACTTTGCTGGTCTTTGCTTGAAGCAGTTGATTGTTGTTCCGAATTAGGAGCATTGTAAGACGTGTCGCTCGTGGGATTCGAGCCCGGGGCCCCAATTTTTCAGGACATCGGCAAACCGTACATCAGTAAACACTTTAGTCATGCAAGGCACTGAGCTCTGTCGAGAGGTCGAATTTTATGACAGTCGGGCGGCTGAGGCATTTCGCAAAGCTATAATGGTTCTCGAACGCTCTAGAGAGGACAGAGGCTCCTTGAATAATGATCTAGGGGAAATGACAGCACCAGGTGAACTCATCATAATTTTGTGATAATCATCATCAATCATCATCATGATCATCATCAATGATGATTCATAATCATTGTTATTACATTTGCAGGGAGTCCATCAGATGGACTCCCTGATGGACGAGGTGCCTTCAACTTTCCTCCAACTGGAAAGTTGGAGGAAAGTTCAGCTGGCCAGAGCTCAGTTTTCGGAATGGTGTTGTGCTGATCACAGTTCCGCACGTCACGAGAATCCACCGGGCGCACGCAACTGTGCGTGGCCACAGCACGTCACGTGACGTGGCGAACAGCACGGAAACGAGATCCTTAGGTTTTTACGCTCTTTCTACTATCCTATCCTATTTCGCTTTATCTCTGGCATCGCGTTGATAAATCGCGACAGTGTTAAGATAAGAGGGAGGTATGTAGACATTTGGAAATGACCTCAGGTTCACTTGCTTCCTTAGATCGCTCGACATTCCTAGACAGTTATTTATCTGATTTGTGCTTTTGGCTCGCCCAACAGCGTGATTGATCGTGGCGTCACGTCACATTCTGTTCGTTAAGCTTCTAGGAACTTGGGTTCTTTGCATTCGTGATACTGTTCTGGCCTTGCGACCTTTGATAAGGACGTAAGCGTTGAGTTGCAATGATCTTGGCCACTTGTAGTCACACGCTCGTAAAGGACTACATTTCTTTAGTGATTTTTCACGCACTTCGCATGAAACCACTTCCTACGGCCATGGTCCAGTGATGTGTAGCACGAGAAACAAATCGACCCATTCTAGGCAGGGCTAGCTAGGGCCAGGTCTCTGAGGTACAGCTTGAACAGTCTGTAGGAAGAAGCGGGCCGAAGGCTCGCGTAGAACCCTCCGAGCTAACCTCCTAGGGGTTTGCCCACGTTCAGCCGGGAAAGTGCCCACGTTCAGGCCGTTGGGCACTTCCTGCCCCCCCAATGCAAGCAGTTGAGCATATAAACGATGTTTTCGCGACTCTTATCAGCTACACTGTCAGAGCCGCGTAGGTCGCTAGGGTCGACACCGGTTTATATATGAAGGACAGTCGGACATGAAAACTCATTCCGGTGCGACGCTATGAACTTGTTCGCGTATTCTCGACTTCGCAGTTATTATTCTCAAATGTTGCATCATCGTCAGACTCTAGCTATTATTCTATACTCGAGCCTCTCCATTGTGGCTATTCGCAACATTCGGCAAGCTCGGGAGCCGCCGGAGATTGCACCGAGAGGGAATAGTACGGCTCCAACAATGGCGACAGCGATTCCGTCAACGACGACGACGATTCTGTCGACAACGGCTCCACCTACAACGACAGGCACTCCGTCTTCAACGACAACGACAACTACTCCGTCCCCAACGACAACAACTCCGTTTACAGCGGCAACGACTTCGTCCACAACAACGTCCAGCCCTTCTGGAGCTTCTGCCCGGTTCGGCACTTATTCATGGTCTCAGGATTTCTGGAGGTCAGGCGATCCCAGTCTTACTGACTTTGGTGCTTCTGGTATGGGCAAGCTGTGGAACACTGGCGATGTGTATGTGAATATCGCTGATTACACCAACTATGACCGTATTAATAACCCGGAAAAGCTCCTCCCGTGGATGAAGGGATGGAGAAAGCAAACTGGCAATACTGAAAGGATTTGGTTGACTTACGGTGACGCGAGCAAAGCGAACAGCAAGGATATGATCAAGTTCGTTGACACCTTTAGTGAATTCGTACAAAGTTCCATATCGGCAGAAGACATGCGACAAATTGCTCCAATTGGTCTGAGTTTCGATGCCGAGCGCATGCAGCCGCAATATATTAAGAGAACTTTACTGAAGGCTCAGCAGATGAAGAAAGATGTTACCAAGAGGATGGGCTATGCCCCTGGTTCTTTGCTTATTGATTTCTCTATCGAGGGTAGGAATAACACTCTGGGTACTCAGTACATCATGCAGTATGCCGACCATGCTACGATGATGCTCTATCGTAACGCTATTGACGGCGACTATGCAGATGATCTCGTTTATCGTATGAATTATATGATGACAGAGCAGTGTGCTGTGTGTACTCAACCAGGATGGGAGAACTTGAAGGCCAAGATCACCATCATGTTGGAAGGTTCTTGCACTGTTGGTAAATACTGTCATAAGCTTTCTATGTGTGCTTACGATGCCTCAGCTTATTCCAACTACACTGGTGGTATTGAATATGCATGGGAGTTGCTCAACGAGTTGAAGGTCCGTACGGTTGCTGATGGTATTCTCACACAAGAGCAGTTCGATTTTCTCTTCGACATCCATGGTTCGTTGTTTGCTATTCATGACTGGGAATGGGTTAGATGTTATTATGGCGATCAGTTTTCTCGCGAGATGGGATATTCTAACTGTCTTCATGAATACCACACTTCCGCGAACAAGTGCCGAACAGAATGAACTGTTCATCAAATAAAGAAGTACAAAAGGCCTCACATAAGTGCCTTGACACGATCATTTTCTCTGAATATTAGGAAATAATCGCTTCTTTTCACTAAGCAGACATCTTGCTCTTGATTGTCGTTTGCCATGATGGCCTTACTCGCTTTTTTGAGAGTCATTTCCCCTATAGTTGGTTATAATGTCGAGTTGCCTGTTGAAGGAAAGTCCATGAAACCTCTAGCCTCCGAGTTGTGGCAGGGCGCGTGTCGACTCACGAGTGCCATCTGGGCACTGCGGAGGATGACGACTGCTTCGTCATCTGGGCACTGCTATTGTCTCCGATTGGGGGAGAATCGGACCAAGCATAAGACATGTGATGAACGTGATGAACGTCTTCGTCTCGTTAAGACGTTCCCATGTTCAAGTTGACCGGTTTAACATGTTAGAGTAGAAAAGCAATCTGCTCGAATCATAGTGATTCACTATGATTACCCGTAATAAATGACGAGACCAGGGGTCTCGTCATGAATTCGAATCTTCTGGCAAAATATGGTATGAAAAAAGCAAAAGAGGGAAGGGAGAGAGGGAGTGGGTGAGTGGAGAGTAGTGGAGAGTAGTGGAGACATGATGCCACAATTTGCCATTGTGTCACTAGCTCATTAATCCCAGAGTGCATAATAGGTTGCCAATAGGTTCGAGACTGGTATCCGGAGCCGATCCCAGCAGTGATTGGAACAATTGTTCGATTTTGTTTCGTGGCGTTGAACAAGACAGCTTTCCTTTGTGTAGCACGCATACACAAAGGGTTTTGTGACAAGATTTTTGTCCCCTAGCGCTTCGCTAGGAACATTGCCATCATTAGTCACTAACAGCATATACAACTTGTACTTTCTTGAGTTTTCCTTAACTTATGTCCTCAAGTAATGGTCAGTCTGTGTTGCGTTCAGGTCTCGGTATACACGAACAAGAGGATGAATCGAACTCGACGTCTTCACAGTCGGTTGTATGTTGGTTGTATCACGTGCCGAAAACTGTGTTGTGTCACGGTGACACTAAGTTCGTGGGCGCACAGCCGTTTGGCAATTCGTATTACCCAGTGAGTGACAGAACTTCCTGAATCTCCCGAATGGTTCATCAACTAATTCTCCTCCGTAGCACCAAATCCTCGTCGAAGTTTCACTTCATCAACTGTATGAAATTTGTGTAATACTAATACACGGAGCCGGCGAGCGAGATCCAGGCGTTTCGCCATGGCCGTTTCACCACTAAACTACGCAATAGGTAGGCTTTGTAAGATTCTGAGCTCAGTCACCAAATGATGACGCTCCTCGCATGCATATCTGTTACCTTATATAGCTCTACTATCTACAGATATTTACCCATTATCCCCGTACACTATGTTGATGATCTGTGGCATCATCATCACTGTCATCATGGAAGCGTCCGGTCATAGCTGGGTGATCAATCTGGTCGGTGACATCAAGGCTGGCCTGCCAAGGATAGGTATGACTACACATCAGCATCCCGACCAGTATTATGCGGTGAGCGCCACCTGCTTGTGTGAAGTGTCCCTAATATCTCTGCTTTTCAGCGACCGATGTGTCCCTTGTCAACCCTGGATCAGTGCATGGGGTTGCCACCACCATATAAGCCTCTCGATGAGAGCTCTCTCCGCCCATGCAGACGCGCTGGCTCTTCCGGTGCAACCAATATGCAGCAACGTGCTGAGGTTACCCGTGGTAAGTCCATACACCTCCTGCTTCCCAGAGTTGCATCTCATTCAGGGTCGAAACTACACGTCTCCTGGATGGGCAACGGACACACTAACTCTGTCTCTGATGGTATGGCCGTGATGTGTCGTCTCCCTCACATCTAACGTATCAGGTACCTGCATTGTATTCAAGATGGCTCCATACAACGAAGACCCTTCATGGGAGGATTTCTCCGTGTTGGAGGAGTGTCTACCATTTTATCAGAAGAACGTTTCTAAAGACTCGACCTCCGCTGATATCACCATTCCGGCTGATACCGCGCCCGGGCTCTACACCGTTCTCTATATGTGGTCCAAATTTGACGGTGTTTATTATGCTACTTGTTCGGATATAGTCGTACATTAGCAATGATGATTCAACTCATCCTACACTCGTCCTATTTCATTGCTTACCTTCTTTTGATTTTCTTTGTTATTTTTCATCCTTCATTGACACTCCTCAGAGTTCATTTGCACTTTATTGATCCATATTTCCGAGTATGAAAAAGAGTTGAATTAGTTGGGATTATACACATTGTCAACAAATGACGGAGGAAACGTCGTTCTCGGAACGACCGTTGTGCAGTTTGGTTCCCACTTTACAAAGAGACCCTTATATGGGAAATGCCACAAGTGAGGTCTGCCCAAGCGAAGAGACAGCGAGGTAGACGCAAAAAAATGGCCGACAAGCATGAAGACCACCCTTGGGTGGTCTTGATAGCCCAAGGGTCCTTCCGTGACCAGATTTACCATCCCGGGAACTTTTACCTCGATGACGTCGACCCAGGAGTTATCAGGCTGACAATTTCAGCCGCAGCGGTCGAGGGAAAGCCTAGGGATGGCTCTGGGTAGTACCCAGTGGGTACTCAGCCTGAGTACT